TTGATTTCGAAACGAAAACGTCACTTTACGGTGTAAAGCAAAGCAAAACGCATTGTATGACTCAAAGTAAAATTAAATATTAATCGAATATTATTTATTAATACTTAAACTTCATTAAAAGTGTAAATCCCAGATAAATTTAATTTTATACATCTAAAAACATCAATCAAAAATAAAGCAATTTTTTAATCAATTAATATTTTGGCAACATGCTTTTTTTAACGCGCTTTTAATACTTTTATTTTCTTAATATACATAGAGTAGAGAGAAAATATAAACAAAATTACAGCGAGTAAATTGGAATTTGTTATTATTTTTGGAAACCCATTAGAGTTGTATTTTAATATCGTTAGTATATATTTAAATAATAAAAAAACATATGTATTCACAAAATAGAACATAAAAACAAGCTTAAATTTTATATAATGCTAGAGACCATTATAGCTTGAAATTTTAAAAATTATTTCATATTTGACACCTCAAACGAAGTTATTTGGGTATCACCAGGAGTCAATTTATCACGTAGTCTATGACAACAAAATTTATTTTATTGGACGAGATAAAATTCGCAGATAATTTAAATATATAGATAACCATGTAATAATTGCATTGTTAAATTAAACTATGGCAAACTTGGACTAGTTATTAAATATAAATTAATGTTGCCAGTAAAAAAAATGTTTTTTTTTAATTCTTTTGAACGCAATCAAAATAACAATATTTAATACAACAATCTTTAAAAATAGGTCGCAAACTTTTGAGAACCAAAAGTAATGTTGACTATTTCACATATGAAACAAAATAAAGGCTTATGTATGGTTTTAATGACTAGATAAAAAACTTTAAGATCCAAATTATAAACTTTTTTAATATCCTACATAAATTTAATGTTTCGAGAATTTTTTTAGCAACATTTTTTTTAAATAATCGTCTTCGGTCTCTAACACTAAAATTTTTAATATTTCGATCAAATCATCCAATTTAATTACTCACAACCAATAAATCTTACACTAATTGTAAACAATATTCAATATTTTAATTCATAAATAAATGAAACCGATAACAATAATAAAAAAAATAACAATGTATAGTGACATATGTATACAAAAAAAATCAAAGGTGGAAATCAGGTACAAACAAAAAAAATACTTTGGTTTAAATTGGTTGCTATATGGCAACACTGAACTCCATAGATAATACAGATTAATTTATAAAGCACGTCGCCCGTGTACTTTTAAAGGCAAGCATTGACAATGTAATTTTTACTCATTTATAAATTGTTTTTATTTATTTGTTGGGAATACGATCCCTAAGATAGGACAACAAGCTCGCCGTCCCTTTTGCCAAAATGGCGTGGCGCGGTTGTCGGAAACAATTGCCCATTAACTCGAGAGCCCTGAAAATAACATGTTTATTTTAATGGAAAGTTTATTATTTTAATGAGTTACGTTAAACATTTCAACTCATCTCTTGTGGTATCATAACAAAAAGTTCACGATATAAGAACTGATTGAACAATTTTTTGTCTCATCTTAAGGAGTATTAAGTTCAAATCGTAAAATATCACTGTAATGTCATTACAAATATTCAAATAACATGTGTCTTTTAAATCTAGTACATTCTGTTTTAAAATATATACTTACCTCAAGTTAGTAAAGTTTCCAAGTTCAGGTGGCACTGTTATAATACTGTTGTTGGTTAAATCTAAAACTGCTAGTTTCTTCAATTTGGCCAACGCGTCGGAGGACACATTGATTTCAGTGATTTTATTCTCTCCAGCAAGTAATATTTCCAAATTGTCCATATCGTATACACATCGTGGTATCTTCGTAAATCTGCGTGATACGAACTCATCAATCTCTTATCAATAATCAAACTTTCAGGATCATACGCAGAGTTGATATCATCATCAGCTCACTATACGTCCCCACCGAGGGGCTCGGAGCCTACCCTAAGTTAATGGTGACTAGGTCATAGTCAACCACGCTGGCCCAGTGCGGGTTGGTTGACTTCACATATATCTTTGAATTTCTTCTCAGATATGTGCAGGTTGCATCACGATGTTTTCCTTCACAGTAAGAACGTCGGATAAATGTACATATGTAAATCGGAAATCGAAAAACACATTGGTACATGGCGGGATTCGAACCCAGGACCTGCAGTTTGCAAGTGCTTGACCCGAGTTGATATGACAATTAGTAAATCTACCGCTGTTTCCATATACTATAAAAATACATGTTGTCCGGGACTCCATCCGCGAGGAATTAAAAACAAACAATTAGCACTAGTGTTCTTCCAGACTATGTTCTACATCTATACAAAATTATAGCGAGATCCATGCAGCCATTATAATGGTACATTCTAACATATATCCACACATCCAATCATTGGATTTATAATATTAGTAAGATTATTTTAAATACGAATATATCCGGCTCAAAGGACCATAGTGTTCTATAACTACACACTAGTCTTATATACAGCAAAATATGAGTTAACAATTTTCATTACTTACGGTCATCCTTTAAATAAAAGTACAATTTTGGAAAGTATACTTACTTGTTGCATGAAATCACTAATTCCCTCAAATGCTTTAGATTGCCAAATTCCAAGGGCAAATCCATTAAACAGTTTTTGCCCAAATCCAGATATTGCAAATGTGTACAACTACTTATTTCTCTTGGAATTATTTCGATGTTATTTGACGATAATATCAATTGTGACAATGTATCCTTTATTTGACATATTCTGCGGAAAAAAAACCAACAAAAATATAATCTATTTCAGCCAAAGGCCAATTTAATATACGGACTATGTTTGTCGCTAAAACACTACTAAAATCTGGGTTAGACCATCTTTTTGACAGGTCACAGGAGTGTTGAATATTGGACATGTCTTACAGAAATTGGATACGTAAGTCTACTTACCCTAATGGCACCTCTTTCAGTTTATTTTTTGATATGTCTACAATATGCACTTCAACATTGGCGGCCGTAATGAATACGTCCTCGGGTACTGACGTCAAATCTTTGCCCGGCAACATTAAAGCTTGGCTTTTCTTCAATGTAAATCTGAAACGTCATGTTTATAACATTAATATCTTTAATTTTATTAACTTGTTAATACAATGGATACTTTTATGTGTGAAAGAAACGCGTTGGTAATATCTCTTGGGATTGTATAACGCTAATGGAGTTTTTATTACACTTAACGCGTCAAACAAATTGACCTAATGATAATTCGTATTAATAAACATGACAGAGTAAGCCAGAGTTGTTTACGTAATACAAAATATCACTTAAAAAAAACTCAAAACTAGCTTTTGTCCGCGACTTCATCCGCACGGAATTATATATATATATATATATATATATATATATATATATATATATATATATATATATATATATATAAAAATATATAGTATTATACTATTTATAACTCAAGAACGGCTTTACCGATATGGCTGGAAATTGGTGAGGAGGTAGCTTAGAGCCAGGAGACGAACATAGGAAGGAACATAGGATACTATTCATTCTTTTTTTTCGAATTTATGCTTTGAAGAGCTGCTTTTTATTAACTTATCTATATATTAAGTTCTTTATATATCCACGCGGACGGAGTCGCGGGCGAGAGCTATTTTATAATATTTTAGTATGAAATAAGATAGTATCATATGATAAGAGAAAAAAAGTGATTATGAAATTGAAAGTATTATATGGCATCTAATAGTACTTTCAATTTCTTCTCCAATCGATAAATAATAGCTTTACAAATTAAAAGTGAATTTACTGTAATTGTATTTGTGCGCCTCTACTGCGTTCTTGTTTATGGATTATGATAAAATAACAGTTTTCCGCTCGAATATGCATTATGCATGACTTTTGATTTCCGATTCAGTACTTTCTTTTGTTGTTATAAATAATTGACGTGTAATAACTCTATAACTAATCGTTGGTTTTCGATATCAAAATCACTGTATAAACATATTTTAATGTGTTTTGTCAAAGACAAGAATAATGATGTGTTTTTGTCTCAGAAATCAACGATAAGTAATATATGGATTACTTAGTATTTTGAAAAATAATCTCAATGTAATTGCGAATAAAATCAGCCTAAAATAAACCTTATATTATAATATTATAATTTTTTTTCATAAAAAATATTAGCAGATATTTTTTTTGTAAATTTACTAATATTTCTTTTACCATTCCAACTAAGCTCTAGGCTTGTGCTAGGATATGGTTTACGACAATAGTCGAATGGTGGGATTCGAACCCCCGACCTCGTGATCGGAAATCCGTATCTTAACAACTAGGCTTAATTAAAAGTGGCACTTGAATTGTAGGTAAAACTTAACGTAATATTGTTAATTTTAAACGCAAAATAACTTAATATTAGTAACATTTTTACACTCACTTGTCCGGCCATTCGTTGTGTAATATTTTAGAATCACTATCAACCTCTTCCGCGATGCGATCTCGTAAATATTTCATCATTCTATCAGTCCCCCCTCGGATTATATCCTGTCTGACGAACGATAGTTTGTTCCCATCCATACTTATACTTTGTAACTGGGATAGCAGACCTAGATTTCTTGGTAACCTGAAAATCAATAAACATTGATTAAAAATTTAAAAATAATTAAATAATAAACTTTCAATTTGACTATGATATTCCTCGGCACAACAAATCATTAAATGATGAATTACAAAATGTCCAAATATTATAAAACACATTAATCAGTGAAATTATTTGTTAGATATAAAATTAGACAAATTACAAATGGGCAGCATTCATGATCTAACGGTGACATAAATCAAAGGATGTATATTAAGGAAGAACTCACTTGTTTAAATTATTATTGGTAAGATCAAGCCTCTTCAGTCTTTGTAGCAATGATATGTTTTCTGGCAACAATTCAATTTTATTGTCTCTTATATTTAAAACATTTAAATGTTGCATCTGATCACAGAATTCTTCCGTTATCTCCTTAATAAAGTTATTAGCGATATAAATTTCTTTCAAAGCGGTACAACCATAAAAATCAGGTAATTTTTCGATATCATTGTGATTTGCATCCAAAATTTCCATTTTTCTTAGCTCACCCATTGTTGGCAGTTTCTTCAAATTATTATGACTGATATTCATTTTTCGTAATTCTAAAATTTTGTACATAAATTTCATTAAAATATAATTAAATTATAACTACTCAATTGAATTATATTTTAATGACAAAAATATTTAATGAAATGCAATTCTAGTATTTAATATTAGAATTTTGTATTAAAAGTTTCACAATAACATTTACCTCTTAAATTAACAATATCAGGGGGTAACTCGGTCAGTTCATTATGGGATAAATTTAGATCCACCAATCGCACTAAATACCCCATGCCGGGTGGGAGCTCTGTTAACTTATTATGTGAAATATCCTACAAAATAAAAAAAAACGCACTAAATATTTATTAATAATTTTTTTAACAATATTTAAATCTAAAGTACAGTTCAAATTGCTTAATATGACATCTTTCATAGAGAAAGAAAAAAACAGCTTAATAAACCTAAATATTTCTTGGCTATTCAACCAGAAATATTTTATTATAATAACTTTGTTATGACTGATTATTGCTGGTTAATTGAAGTTATATGTTTATAATGTCGCCAGTGTTGACAATTTTGATTAAAAAAACATATTTCACCTATTCATTTAATATTTTATTAAGAAATAATTCATACCAAAAATGTTAACATCACAAGGTCACCAAATTCAGGTTCAATTTTCTTCAGTTCATTGTGTGACATACTGAGCCATCTTAGTTCAGTTAATGTATAAAATTCTTTTGCCAATTCTGCAATTTTGTTACGGTCCAAACTTAGGTTAGCTAAGTTTTTCAATTCACCAAATTCTGCTGGCAATTTTGTCAGTGCATTATCATGAAGCTATAAAAAGTGTGAAAGATAAATTAATTTAATAAAATAGTAAAATATTGTGAATATTACAGTATTAAATTATTAATAAGTAAAATGTAAATATTAATTGAATTATAGATATGATACTTAAAATATTTTGCTGCAAATTCTGGTCTACTTGAACTTGAATTTCAGGTTTTTAATACTTTGTTGTTGAAATTAATTTATAGCTAATTAATTAACAATGATATAGAAAAATACTGCACAAAGGCTATTATTTTATGGGTTTTTTTATTATTTACCTTGAGAGTAACAAGTTGTTGCAGTAGTTTAACGTCTGGCGAAATTGTTTTTATTACATTAGAACTGAGGTCGAGAGTTTTCAATGGTACGTCAGTCCACCAGCTATTGTTGTCTGATCTTGCAAAATCTACTTCTTTTGATTCTTCCAACACCAATTCGTCAATTTTCCAAACATTGTCAGGTACTACAATACATCGTCAATGGAAAATATTGTTAAAGGGGTGAAATAAACAATGAATTTCAATTTTTATAATCATACCTGTACCCAAACCTCTGTTACAAAGACTCAACTGTCCTGTGCGTTTGGCTGATTTTATCAATCCTTTTGATAATTCATTTGCATCTGCATCCTTATCTTGAAGATTGAAAACAGATTTGTTACAAACTTTAATTCTTGATTTAATTGGTGTACGGCGAGACATGTTTATATTTAGTTAGATTCTATTGATATTATTCAAACTACTTGTAGAAAACCAACATAGTTATTCTAAATTGTGGTCACAATTAATAAAAATAAAAATAATCCGCTTATTTTATTATGTTGCACCAAAACTACGTAATCGTAAATTGTAATCGCACTCGCGTTGCGGTAATTCCGACCACAGACCCCGCACTCCACTCCATACCTCTCTCCCCTCCACCTGCTTTATCAATTCGACAAAGACAGCCGGCTGATTGCTATAGTGTTGCCATTATAAAAGTTATCATTTCGACGTGATTTAGATTTAAAAATGAATTCGTAGTTTAATAACACAATTAGCTTAAACAGTATGTAAGACATATATTAAAAAAAAGAAAAGTACTGAAAATTAATGTTAGGCTATTCTGTATAATAACTGTATATAAGTAATGTGTGCGCTGAAGATTTTTCCCCGATGAAGTTCGAAATTCATTAAGTTGGTATCACCGTTGCCGTTTTTTGGGAATACATAAAAGTCAACAGCAGTACTGCAGCCCCGACGACTTCGTATCATTTGTATCAATAATATGTTTTTAAAATGAACTTATAATTCAAAATATTAAAGCACATCAGTTTGTTACCGACAAACCCATTGCAGAACACTACAATCCGTCGATTTTCGAATGGTTCATATTTTTCGACTTGCATAATCCCCTGTAAAGGTGTTAATTATATGAACGATTACATTTGGCTACTTTAACAATGAAATTGTAGAAGTTTATTATGATTAAAAACAGGAAGAGGACTATAGCTTGGTCGATAAAATACCACAGTATGTAGAAGTATTTTCGCTACGTCTGCTGAGTGAAGTTTCTTGGATCCAATTCTCAAGGATGCTAAGAAGATTTGCCGTGGGAAAGTTGGACAGATACAAGATTAATATCCTCATCAAAATTAGCAGCGTATATGAGTCCACCCCTCAGCTAGAAGCAATTATTTACTATTTGTAGAGAACTTTCTAAGAAGTACGGATTTGTATGAACTAATTTTTACCTTTATTTTGTTGTGGAATAAAATTTTGTTAATACACTAAATAAAAATATGCTTAAAGTAGTTCTAGTTCTTGTATGTTGCATTTACATTTAGATTGTGCCAAGTTAATATTAATATACAAAAATATGGATTGGCTATAGTGCCGAGCTATTTGAAAAGTCACATAAATGTCATTAATTTGTCATTAATATTTTTTATAACATAGAATATTGTGCTGGTGTTTTTGCAGATTTCTTTTATAAGAAATGCAGGACCTAATCTTTTTTACAAATATTCTTTAATACTGCAATCAACCATTATTATAATTGTTTACTGGATATCAAACAATCACCCTTATAGACCTCGCCGATATTAAGTCTCAGGCAGTTTAGCACAGATCAAACAGTAACAGCTGTCAACTTTTGCGCGCGAAAACAAGAGAATAGAGGAAGCTTTTTAATTAAAATGTATAATTTTGATTAATTATAGAAAATTATTTTAGGAAGTATTACACAAATAAGCAAGGTCAAGATCATATCCTGTAATCTAAATCGAGAATTATTACTATCATTGGGTTCTAATTCGATAGTCTTCATTGGATTGTAAGATTTTTCTTCAATCCGCATTTGAGACACAGTTTTCAATTCACGGGCACTTTCTTCGTTGCTTTTCCAATATACTGAAGCCAAGGTAGCAAGACACTGAAAAATAATATTCGAAATAAAAGTGCGAAAATTTCAACAACAAATAAAACTTAATTTACAATTCGGCTTGTTTATCTTTACTAGACATACTAGAGTCTAGTCTGAAATCGTTATTTACTTAGCCTTTTCTTAGGTCAAGGTGGGTAAGTTTGCTTATGTTTTTATTTACACCAGTTATGGAACAAACAAATACGGAACATTAGACACGTAACTGAATGATTCTTTTCTTTTAATAATAACAAAATGTGTATAAGGAAATAATTGTACAAGTACCTTGATTTTAAATCCGCCATTTACGAAATGTTGTTCATTGATTTGGAAAGATAAAGCAAGGCTTGTAGTTTCGTAGCCCTCAGGGTCTTTGTATACTTTTGGTGACGTGATAGCGGTGAACGGCGCTGGTTCACCATTGACATACCATGTCAGACGTACAGCCGGGCGTGATCGGACTGATGAACAGTTCACCCTAAGCTGGTCACCTATCCGATAGTATGGATTAAACCCTGAGATCACAGGGCCGTCTTCTGGTAAAACTAAATAGAAGGAAAATAATCATATGAGCAAATTAGGAAGAACTTTCGGAATGCTTTACTTATATGCAAAATTTAGACCTAAAAAACTGTAATAACATAATACAAATTGAAATCAAATAAGGCACCATGCTTTCGCACTCAAAAACATTGAGTCTCCCTTTGAGCAGACTTAGTAGAAAATATCCACACTAAGGGCCTCCATTAGCTAATGAACGAGTCTGGTAGGAATTATAAGTAAGTATTCTCTTACCCACGACGATCATATTGGCGTGTTCAGAGACTGTTGGAAAAAGCGGCTTTTCTCCAGACACCTCGCATCTATAACGGCCTGCTGTCTCCAGTGTGGCGGGATATAGTGTTATATGTGATGCCAATTCATCTGATTTCTGAAAAAAGAATATTATGAACACAAATTTACACAAACACTTTAAAGTAGAGATAATCATCGATAAAGTGGCGCGGTCTTTCTTCCATAGCTTGTAAGTCACATGTATAAGTCAAGTAAGTAACGCTTATGCTGTGCCGCTACGTAACAATTTTTTTTGCTGGTGATGAAGTTTTGGTGAAGTAGTTAGTCTAATGCTGGGGAATTTTTTTCTCCCGTACATGTATAGCCATACAGTTGCGTCATTTGACGAAATAAGAAATAAAAAGTAGATATAAAAATTAAGTTACCAAACGACTTCCGTTATAATACCCTTTTTGAACATAAACATACCAATGTAATAAATAATATGTGATCTTCTTACATTAACTGCAACTCCTGGTAAATAATACTTCCTATGAGGTTCAAGATCGCGTGGAACATGTCTGAAGAACTCTTGACCATCTTTATACCATTTGATGGAATAAAGCAAATCTTGCGGGCCGAGTTCCCAATGACAAGCCAATTCTGGTTGAGATCCAAGCTTTACGTGACTTGGTACTCTTAATTCTAGTAGCTTAAGTGACAACATGCAGTCTGAAAGAGTGTACGATACGCTAAGTTTCCTCAAGTAGGATCTAGAACTTCAAAGAATGTTTAAAAATATAACACTAGTAAATATTGGCTATAACCATAATGTTGATATACCTCAGATGATACTGACTACATTGCAAAGTACAATACAATACAAGAAGGAAAAGAGAGGACGCGAAATAATTTTGCAACATTTTAGTCAATTTTGCAACTTTTTAGTCAATTTTGCAACTTTTTAGTCAATTTTGTGTGTTTTCAAAATGTTTTGCCAGTTTCGTTTTTTTTTTCAAATTTTCAGTAAATTTAGTGAGCTATGTACAAGTATTGGTGGAATCTGTCGATTTATTATCTTTCGATTGTGCCCTTTATAAAATGAATTGTTATAACCACACATTGTTGTACGTAACTTTGTGTTGTTTCTGATACATACTTATTATTCTGTAAGCGTGTTGTTATTGTTTAAAAAATGTATTATAAAACAATCATTTCCAAGAGAATAATGATTCTGTAACACACAATAGGAATAAGAAGTTTTAATATTATTGTAACGTGCGACATTCGCTTCTTAGTAAGTATATAAAAGTCCACGTATACATATAAAGTAAATATAAATCTATACAGTGGTTTATACAAGTGAAAAACTTACCAAAAATAAGTAGAAATGTATAGAGAACTAGTGTATATCTTGAAATCGTCATAGTTAAGAACTGCGTCGACAAATATCTTCATTATATACCTGAAAGCAAAGATTAATTTTTTTTGCAGTTGCATGTGGGTGTACAACTATTTTAGTCAAAATTAAAACCTCCTTTTTTGCTATCTCTTAAGTAGAGAATAAAAAGGCTACAAGATAACTCATCTGAACAAAATTGAAGTGAAGTTTACGAGAAAATGACGCAACGTAAGATATTCTCGGATTATTCTATCAACGGTCTACAAATTAAGATCGTCCCAAATTCGATCATGAAAGCGAACGATGATAAATGTTTCATTAAATTACTTTACATCGCAATGTGATACATTTTTTCCTAAAAGGTTTTATAAGTGCCCGTTAGTAGTGAAATAAAAAGAATTTATTAGTTGTAATAAATAGTAGTACTAGATTCATTATAGATTAATGATAAACTAGACTAGTAGAAAATTAATGTAAGTCCTAAGTTAATCGATATTCACCTAAATGATGCCTAAGGGGTTACAATCTTCAAATAAATCATTATTATTTTTTAAACATTACTATTATTACATAACTAGCTGTCGCCCGCGCCTGCTTTCGCGCGAAATTAAAAAAAAAACTTAATTAGTAGCCTATGTGTTCATCCAGACTCTGTTCTACATCCATGCTAAATTTCAGCGAGATCCATACACCCGTTCTAGAGATCCCTTCTAACAAACATCCATCCGTAAAACCAAACATTCTCATTTATAATATTATTTTATTAATTAAGAATAATCAAAATTAAATCTAATATTAGAAGTAAGATAAACACGTTCTGCCGTTATAATTAACATTAAATTTACGCGACCTTAAGTTGAATAGTGGCACGTTGCAAAATGTCGTGTGCAAGACAAAGTTCTTAATGACATTTTATAACACACAAGAGAATAGCGCGTTTGACATTTAATATCCGCTTAGAAAATAGAATACATTTATGGACTCGTGATACGTTAACAAGTATGTTGAAATAAACTTGAAAGATTTTAATACTTAGTAGAACACTCATACTAGCCATTTTAAGCATCAAGAAGGTTGCGTCGCGATTTTTATAGGGCAAGTGGATACAGAAAATGAGAGAAAATATCCAAGAGATATTCCCCTCTAGCATTTTAAATTCCATTACCTTGGTTCTTGCCCTTAAATGCTAACTTACAGTCGTAGAATTAAGCCTACTTAAACTCCTTATTTCTTTCATCACTCATCCGTATCCGAAAACTTATTTATTTTTTGGTCAAACCTGCTAAATCTCTTTTACATCAATACAAATACACTAAAATTAAGTAGGTGTTGAATTATTAAGAACAGAAGATAAATAATAACAATAAAAATACATATTCACCTCACGTAATATTGTTTTTGAAGTATTCCACATAATATCACAATAATAAAATCATGTTAATAATCTGTTAATAATTTGAACGCAACACTAACAAGAAAGTTTTCCCGCGCAAAATAATGTCAACACATGCTGCTCCGTAGCGTGCGTGTTGCTTTTACAAGCATTGCTTTTCAAATAACGTAGCAGTTTGCCGTTCGTCTTCGAGAATTTCTGAAAGCTGAAAATATATCGATGCTGCTATCACCACTAAAAGTAATCTCAATCGATGATATTTTTAAAACATACTTAAGTTAAGATTAAGATGTTAATGGGTTTAAATTAACTTTAAATCTGATAGTTGTCAAGATCAAGGTAACATCTATATTCTTTTGACATAAAATAAGAGTAAGGAACATAGAAAAATAAACATAGAATAATAAATTTTTTAAAATTATTACATCTCTTTATTTTACTAAAATTACGAACATTTTTATGTCGCGGATCGTAGCTCTCAGCTCTATACGTAACTGACAGCGCTCAAATAGCTTTCTCGATACAATCTCAACCGATGACATTTTCTTAACAATGCGTAACATATAATAAGATTATTATACTTATCTAATTGGGTAAGGTTAGGTTTCTTATTTTGTAGAACAGACTTTGTCTTATAAAACCTATATTCCAAATAGGAGAGTACTACATAAAAGGTAAATACCCAAAATGAAATCCCGCTCAAGATGTTTCTACCCAGGTAGCGGATATGTTCTTAACCAAAGAGTAAGCTCATGTTAGTACAAGAACTAACGTAGGTAATTCATTTTAAAGTTAAGATTACTTATCTTGACGAACTCGTGGATTATCGCGCAAAGCAATAAAACCGTAGAGCGGCCCATTGTCCAGCTAAACACGGCGCGGGCTCGGCATACTTACGTCACGGACTTATCACCCGTTCCCATAAATGTATTCACACTGCAAATTGATCTGGACACAATGCACGGGAGCACAGATGCTGGTACGGTCACCATAATAATGGTATTTTACAGATTTTCACAAAATAGTATGAGAAGAATTACCGTGGATTTGTCAGACCAAAATCCTTGTTTAAAACATATTGTTATCTTTGTTTTGTTAAAGATAATGACAGGAATGACGATATGTTTTATACAAAGATTTTGATCTCAGAAACCGACAGTTTATGGTGTTAATTCATTTCAACGTGCGAAGGACCAAAATATCTTACATTCTTCTAGAAGGTTTGGTAAATCTATTTAAAAAAAATATTTTATTGTAACATTAAGTATTAAATAATTTCAGATAAAATTGTCCGCATTCTTACCGCACATAGCGTAGACGTACTAGTTGCCAGATTTAGCTGAACTTTTAGGTCCAGTCAGAGATATTGTTAAGTTTATGGCTTCAACGTTATAATGTACTTAATTTAAATAAATATTTGCTATTAAATTTATACTTTCAGCAAGCAACATAAGCCAAGGATGTAGGTAAATACACCGAAAAGCTCTAGAATAGTACAAATTGTACATTTCTTAAGTAATCTCGTGTGAAATGCAATTAATAAATATTTGTCTTTCTAAAAATAGAGTACCTTCATTGGAATATGCTTTTTGTTCTATAGGTGCGTTACTCGGAAAACATTTTTATGTCCAAAAGCTTCTTTTATAAATTATGTTCACATTTTAATATATCAAAGTCCATTATAAATTATGACGCATAATAATATCCAAGTTTCAGGTGTTTATTTGCATTCAAATCAGCATCAGTTGTTACGGCAAAGGTCCGCGTGCAGTTAACAAATATGGCTGATTACAATCTCTTTAAAATTGTAGCAAAAGACGAATGGCCACCGGCCACCGAGCTGTATGCCATACGAGGTAGCCTTTGTGACTCATAGTCAATGTACATTTTGCTGGATTGAACTTTTTAGTTTAACTTGTTCGGTAAAAAGGGACTCGTATACTTATTGTTATTAGTATAATGGAACCTCCTGAAGTAAAATCAATTTGTCCAAATTAATAAGTTATATGGTCTAGTCTATAATTTGTGGTTTCGATACTAAAGGGAAGTATTTTAATGCAATGCAATGTGGTTATTTTAAAATTCTTAAATTAACATCAGTGCTAACCGAATTAAATATGGAAACTTACTGCATATTAAACAATGTTTTGGATACTTGTTTAAACAGAAATATAAAATCTCACATAATTTTGTAACCATAAATTTCGGAATACTTTTAGCACGTTATTTATTATGCGATGAGGTGATAAGAAAAAGACAGACTGTACAATTAGTTTAAATTTAGATATATCTGTGTAATAAAACACGCATTTGGTGGGACAGACCGCCACCAAATGAGGCAATATTTTCCGCGCCAACAAATTTACAAGTTTTTGAGTTGTTTGGGTTGACGTTAATGTACTTAAAAAAGAACACATTTCAAAGGACTTGTGTGAAGTATAAATATGACTTTAGAATTTTAAGAAACCGAGAACCATTTTAGTTCTGCAGTAAATGAAAAAGACGAGGTTTCTGTCAAAAAATGTGAGATTCTGAATAGCACAAGATAAAAAACAACTCAATAATATAAATCTAGGAATAATTAATAAAGTTTAACATTTAAAATGCTTTTCCCTATTTTATTTACTACACATCTATCGCGTACTGCCTTTTGCTAGACTGAAAACCTTGTCCTCGGATTTGATATTCAAATATACCAGGCGCTTATTTCTTTTTAATGCGAAGTCGTAGAACCAATGGCTTGTGCACTGCCTTATTGTGAGCTGAAGTGGAAGAAATGTTCTGACGTCTTCGTTCCAGCTTAATAAAAACACAAGTCGGTTCGCAGATTCATCATACCATCTTCAGACTTACAACAAGGTTTGAAATTAATATATTTAATTTATTTTATTCGCTCATCCTAGCTGGTTAGAGTACCTATCCATATGTACCTGTATCCATATTTTTTTTACAGATGTTGAATAAATCTTTAATGTATGGTATAGCTACGGCTCTATGCTTCTACTGGGTTGTAATGTGCGTGAACGCTTCAAACTTTCGTTGTAAGCTTAAGCGTTACTCACACAAAGCAATGCAGACCGACCTAAATGGAAGACGATGCTGGGACGAAGTAAAGATAGGATCGTGCTGGGGTTACTGCTTGTCCTACGAGGTAAAAGATTTGTTATAGTTAAATATTGATCTGTAAGTTACTGTCTTTATCAAGTAGGTGTTGTAAATATTATGAATATAATAGTTTAAATCAGTACTTCTGTGATATAATTAACAATTGTAGAAAACAGACAGAAAAACAAGTCGTCCAATACTATACATAGCTGTATATTAAGGTACGGCGATGGTAATGGTACACTTAAAAGGCTTCCCATCAGGGAAGAGGGTAGATACTTCGTGTAATCCCTTTAAATAATCCATGGTACTTATTACCACAGTCCACAAACCTAAATTGTTTTACAGAAAAGGAACGTACTAAATTAGAGGTATAGATATAGTTTTACTTTTCTACTTAACCAATAAGTTGAGATGCAGAAAAATAGCCAAATACACGGATATATGTACAAACCATGTGAAGTATGGATGTGCAGGAGAAAGAATTTAGTTTTTATAACATTTTTATATAGTTTTAAATGTTTATAGATCTCTCACTGGCAGTTCCCATACAAAGAATCCCACCATCCGGTATGCGTGCACGGAGAACGTCGTCCCGCCTCCGTAAAATTGCAGAACTGTGATCCTGGAGTACAACCTGGAACTGATATCTACCACTTCGTTGAGGCTGTAAACTGCAAATGTCAGGTGAGAACTGATACTGAAGGTTGACCAATTGCAATATACTTCCTACAATATCCATTTTAAAATACGTGTCATGACTGCAATATTATCTTATATATAAACTGCCCATCACAAAATCTTTCCTATTTATATAGTGTGCAAAATAAATAAGAACACATAAACATTATCGTTTTTAGGTCTGTTCGTCTGAAGATACGAGTTGCGAGTGGCTACCTCCAGACTCTTCTCTACTAGATGGACTTATCCTGAGAGAAGAATTAGCCGAAGAACTAGAATAAACAAATCTGAAAAAAAAATGCATTCTCTTGATAAATTAAATGTTCATTGTTTGTATACTTGTTTACATATGTAAGTTACACTTTACAATAAAACCTATGCACTAAGAATATATATTTGTTTCTTCACTTTCCTTAAATATTGAAGGAAATATTTCGCATTGTCGACTTCAAAAAGGGAAAAAATATAATTTGACCACAAGGCAAACTCCTGTACATTAAGTACTCTTTGGTCTTGTTAATTTTATTTCTGTCGCGTCTGTCATGTGTCTATACTCTTTGGCAGACTGCTAAAAGATTTTGTTGAAAGGTTGAAGGAGTATCATATTACTCGGGCTTTTAATTAAATTAAATTTAAATAACAATTGATTTTAAGCACGCAATTTCTTTAATACTTTCCTGCAGTTACTATAGAATACGTTCATAAACTATATAGTGAACATGTGATTCATATATAGAGAGAAAGCTTTAAAAATAAGTGTTATGGAAAACATCAGTCATGTATATCTTTTGTGCGATTATTGCTTTCTGCTTTTTACGTGAAAGTTGTACATTGAATACCGATAAAACAGATTCGGTATCAATAATAAAGGGGAACTCAACACCAGAGAGAAAAGGATGGAATATAAATCTTAATATTTATTTTACAAAAACACTTCCGTCAATCATACGAAAACCATCAGGTGCGGACGTCCGACTCAGGTGTGAAGCTATAATGAATTTCACAAAAGTGGAAACTTTCACCAAATATAAAGAAGGGATTGAGACATCGTTAAAAGAAGCCCCTCCGGATTATATACAACAAAGACTCATGAAAAATTTAAAAGCTTATTGGCTTAAAGATAACAGAATGCTCTCAAAAAACGAAAGGATTAATATCTCTACAATAATAGATAAAACAAATGGTACAATAGGAACGAGTATAAAATTGAAAAACATAGATTTGCCTGATGAAGGTAACTATTCTTGTGTTATAAAACAAAATCATGAGAAAAAATTAACCACAAAATTGGAAATCAAAAGGAAATTGGCTGATGTTGAAAACTACGAACTACCAACTTACACACCTTTATTTTCCAATATTGGTGTAAGTGACGAAATTGAAGTAAATGTCAAAACAACTCCAGAACTGAAATTTGAAGATATGACTGTAGATAGCAGCTTAAAGCCCCAAAATTCATCTATCCCTCGCAAGCTCGAGCCTTTGTGTCAAAAATATGTTGGTATTGAATGCAGTGACCATTTGAAAGACCAATTTGTATACATCCCTTATGACACAACTCAGGCTATTTTAGAAGACAAAATTTCTAAAGCCATAAAAGTTACACAGTTCTCAAAAGACATAAGTTCACATTGTGAAGGTTATGCAGTGCCAAGTCTCTGTTACTCAACATTTCCAATATGTAGAGACCCTGAAACTATTAATAAATATTTCTATAAAGAAGCAAGAAAACTATTAAACTTACCAAATGATCATATAGGTGATTTGCCAGAAATATTATTTGAAAATATACCTAAAGATTTTGCACTGAATGCAAAATCTAGTAAGAATTCAACATCCAATATCTTTAATTACCGGTATAACTCAACAGTACTTAGAAGAGTTTGTAAACAAGACTGTGAAATATTAGAAAATGAGTTGTGTCAAACTGAATATGCCATTGCTAAAAGACATCCTCACATAGGTCAACAATTGACGTTGGAAGAGTGTCAAGACTTGCCAGAACATGATGCAGACTGCTTGAAAATTGACATAGGTACTATGATGGTGTCAGATGATGAATGCTACTGGGAAGATGGCAGTGGCTATTTAGGGAGAGTGAATATAGCCAGTAATGGAATGCCTTGTGTAGAGTGGTCCATGCAGCTCCGCGTAAAGCTTTCCGATTACCCTGAACTTACAGGAAAACATAGTTACTGCAGAAACCCAGGTGGTCTCAATACTCAACCATGGTGTGTGGTTGAAAAAGATGGAAAAACGGATGTACAAATCTGTGACATACCCAAATGTGCTCATAAAATATGGATATATATTTTAATTATATTTTTACTTGTGACACTGATAATTATTGGATTAGTTGCCTGTCTTTGCTATAGACATAAAAATAAAGGGAACGCAGCAACAATACGAGACATAAATCTACCAAATGCTGATAAGAATATTTATGGTAATTCAAGATTAAATTCTCCAATAGAAATGAATGAGCTATTAACTAATCAAAATATAAATAACCAGCCACATTTGAGTAGAAGTGTGAGAGGAAATGGCATACTTCGTGTTCCTCAATATTCTTTATCACAAATTAAGTTTTTGGAAGAGCTTGGTGAAGGTGCGTTTGGTAAAGTTTATAAAGGAGCCTTAAAGAATAATGGAGAAACTCAATATGTTGCTGTAAAGGCTTTAAAGGAAAATGCTTCAGCGAAAACTCAAGCTGACTTTAGACGTGAAATTGATTTAATTTCGGAGCTCAGCCATGAGAATATTGTGTGCATAGTTGGTGTAGCACTTAGAGAAGAACCATTGTGTATGTTATTTGAGTTTATGGCACGAGGGGATCTTCATGAATTTCTTATGGGCAGAGCTCCTCCTTCCGGAAAAGGTTTGCCGCCTATGAGATTGTTAAATATTGCATTTAATATTGCATCTGGTATGCAATATCTTGCCTCACATCACTATGTCCATAGGGATTTAGCTGCTAGAAATTGTTTGGTATCAGATGATTTTATAGTCAAAATATCCGATTTTGGTCTTTCAAGAGATATTTATAGTTCAGATTATTACAGAGTGAGTATTTATCATTGTTATCTATAAGTTTAAATTTTTAAGACATGAATCATTTCTGATAATTAATAGGGACAATCTTTGTTTCCAAATATTAATGTTATGATTAAATATGTTCATTATATTTGTTTGTAGGTGCAATCTAAAAGTCTCTTGCCAGTTAGATGGATGCCACCGGAGTCAATATTGTATGGTAAATTTACAACAGAAAGTGATATTTGGTCATATGGAGTAGTGCTATGGGAAATATACAGCTATGGCCTCCAACCTTATTATGGGTAAGTAGAATCAGTAAAATAAAGAATGATAGTAGGTGATGTACATGTTCTTTCCTTGAAATTGTGTTCAAGTTCAGTTTTTTCAAGGGAAATAAGAGAGATGACTGTATGTGTTTGTACTGGCTGGTTATTAAAAATATTTTTCGTGATTAGGTACAGCAATCAGGAGGTGATATCGATGGTTCGCGGCGGGGAGCTGCTCGCCGCGCCAACTAATTGCCCGCCACAAATGTACGCACTTATGCGAGAGTGTTGGAAACACACGCCACAACGGAGACCCAATTTTGAAGATGTTGTTAACAGGTAAGATATAATATACGGTTTTTGATCTATTATAGGTATTCAATTTTCTTTATGTATATTACTATGTATTTCATAGGGACTGAAATAATACTAGCAGAAACCGCAAAATTGGTTTTATTTATGATGTACGACTACTGTAGCGTATAAAAAAAACATTGCATAATTTGTAGGTTTACAAAATTAAGCACCAGCTAATACATTAATAATGTACTCAATACGATCACTTTATCGGTAGTCACAAATTGAGGTTTATATAACGGTTAATAAAAAGAAAAGTGCAGGTATGTATTCAGACACAAAAAGTTCATAAGAGTCTGATTTCTAATTTTATATTCCATAATTAATAGAAACATTAAAGAAATGTACTAATTACTATTTAATCATAACTGGTACTGTATCATTACTCAGTGGTATGTGACGGTTGTTCGCAGGCATGTAATCTATTTATAAATTACTACATGCAGTGTATCAGCGCAACTTTCTCTTAATACCCATTTCCAATATCCGCTTATTTAAACATTATATGACAACTCATTACAGATTACAAGAATGGATACAAGTTGGTGGTTGTCCGGAGATAGGTCCTTTGGAAGGTACCTCTTGTTCCCACAGACCAACCACATCAACAAAGGATCAACAAGAAAGGGCACCTCTCTTACCACCACATTGTTCCTCCTCCAACGGGTCCCTAGCAACTGGGAGTTTAAAGAAATTCAGCGCAGCCAGTTCCAGTACAAAGGTAACTGATGACAACCGATCAACTTGCAGTGAAGTCCCACCTTTAGCGCCCAAATCAAAAAAACATAGCTCCGGTTCTCTCATAGATGGAGATAAGGTTGGTACTAGAGACACAATTGTTAGAATACCTAACACTCATTTTAGTAATGATATTTAATCAAATATTTAACTTTAACACATTGCCAACTTGGGAAAGTACACTTTCATTTGTGACTTGCGGCATTTAATGTGTTAATTATGAATAAAAGATATGCAGCTAGTGGTTTTGGTCGAGTGAAAGAATTAAAACTCATAGAATTTTTCTACAAATTTGAATTTAATTCTTATAAGATTAAAATCAGAATACTATTGAATAATTTCTGGATATACATTAAAAAATAACAATTTTATGAAAAGTTATTCCAATTAACATGACAAGCTCAATAAAATAGTTTTACCCATGAATAAATTAAATAATTCTATGTACAAGATATGTGTCTTATGTAGTAAATACCTAACAATAAAATACATTCCATTGTTACAAATCTTTTGTACACATCAATGTAGAATCATATAACAGTTATTAAAAAAGTTTACTTTCTTTTTATTTAAATCTACGTAGTTTTCACTTTTGTGTCTTGTGCTAAACAATTATTTTCGTGTCTGTACATGTTTTTAATTATTATAATTATAAGTAAACTCCTCACAAAAACTTGTTCAGAATTATTGAAGTATTTCTTCATGAAAAGTATTACATTTGGTTCCTTTTATTATATATTGTGGTTAGGGGTGAATGATGACACATATTTGTTAGTTCCTTTTAACTATTGCAGCCTATTTACTTTTTTTATGTTATAAGTTTGCTTATGCACAAAAAGTTTGTCTTAATCTTTTTACTCTATGGCATTAAAAAAATAAAAATTATTGCAGGAAATATTTATCTCTAAAATGTGTTCTATAAAACATTTTGGCGCTGTATTTGGTACTTTATTTATTTTAATAAGTTATCACATTTTATTTATAATCAAATATTGTACTTAGTTGTAGCGTATTTAAAAGACATATTAGGCTTTGTCTGAATATAAGAGGCAAAGGTTCCAGCAAATTCTTGAGTAAGTATTTTGAAAACCACAGTTAAATATAAAATCAGTTAAATGTTAACACATAAAGTATTTTGACTTTCTACGATAATTATCTTCAACAAATACCCATAAAATCTATATTTGCTAATACAAATCTGCCTTTAAAAGTACCTAAATTTTGCCCTTAAATTAAAGAATAGGATAGATTATAAAATGTAGATCGGCAAGTTTTAAATTATTAGCTAAAATTAGTTTTTATAAAACTTTGTATAACTTAGTTCATTTAGGTAACATTAACGTTGGATTCCACTGCGGAAACAATTGTATGATTTTTTTTCAAAGGGAATGACTAAAATATTGTACAAATGTTTCAGCAATGGTAACCAACTTAAGGCTAACTTTAAGTAATATAAGATGTTATTACAATTGCTTTAAAATGAAGAAAAGAATAAAAATACGAAATCCATAGACAATGATAAAATTAAGTACATTTATAAAATAGTTTTAATAATACTGTAATGAATCAAAAACTAATGATTTCTTTTTATTATTGTACAATATTGAATTGTCCACACTTTAAAAATAATTTTTTTATCATTGAAAGAACCTATGGGCGTCGGCAATGGATGGCCGAGAGTTTTTAAGAAAATTAACACAGACTATTTGGAAATACTAAGATGCTTACTAACCCTAGATCTATGTAAATAACTCAAAAACTACTTGTCAGTTTTAATGAAAAGAAAACCACCAATTTTTTATTGATAAGCAAATTGGGAATAAATTACTACAATCTCCATCTCCCTTAATTTTAGCCTTTATCATCGGCTGGCGACGCTCTTGTAACGAAATGTCACTGCCGTAGTAATTGTATTAATATATATTGCCATCCTTGTCATTTCAAAGAGAATGAGTGGGATGAAAATATGTTTTTACAAATTTATACAGTAAAAACCCACAGTAACAAAACACTGCCTTAAATATAACAAAAATCACATTTTGTGTCTATGTGGAAATAAAAAAATTATGTATATAATATTGCCATGACATTACTAAAAGCATATTTCTCTACTGTGAAAAATATGCAAAAATTGTATGTAATTGTCGTGTTATTAAAATCACTAAAAATAAGGAATGTAATTTAAAATAATAACCGTAACATTTTTTCTACATCTTTTTTATTGTATTCTTGCCAGTATTGTAATGTTTTCTTAGCATGTAATTTTTTTTAAACAATATTATCTAGATGGATTTGTTTCGTTAATGTTTCTACCTTCGACTTTATATACTTTTGTAAATTTAAAAATTTTATAGTACATTTTGTACTTGCCAAAGACTCTTTTGTATGTGATACGTTTACTTTTTTTACTTAGATATAATCTGTATTTCTATGGTAATTTATTTATAAAGAAATGTTTCGAAATATTTGCTTATTTTATTTATTTTAATATCATATTACATTGGTTATATCTTCAGGTTTGACTTTCTTGTTTATCAAGTATTCGCCATGGACCCGCCGGTGTACTTTGAGGTTAAAATTACTGGTAAAACTTCTGCCGCAAGTTTGACAAACGTACGGCCGTTCTCCTGTAAAATTAAAATAAAAATATGAACGGATAGCTCAACCTAAAATTGTCCAAAAAAATTGGAAATTAAGTTTCTAATTAATAATTAATTAACTATTTTGCAAAGATGATAAAAATGTTATTATGAATATTTTTAGCGTGACGTCACACCCTGGACAGCGCCATTGTCATAGTTATTTTAATAGTTCGGAATTCAGTACCACAATAACATACAGAGAACGATTTTACTCTATAACGCAGGGTGACGTCACTGACAACGCCATGACAGGCTATCGTTTTTTCGCAGAACGTTGAAATAAATTTTTGAAAATACACAATGTAATTGTATTTTTATATTCAAATTGTTATGTTTTTGAAAACAAATAAAAATGAATTGGTTTACAGAACATTATTTCCGAGCTGCCATTATATTTGCCTGAATACCTGTATGTATGCGGCGATGTTTGTTCAAAGCAGATCCGTAGAAGAATTTTGCAGGGCAGTACTGACACTGCTTGGTGCGGTTGCCGTTGTGCTTGTCGAGGTGCATCTGCAGCGACACTTTGTTCATATACGTGTTGCCGCACACCTCGCATTTGTACGGCTTTTCTTCATCATGAGTTTTTAAATGACGATATATCTGTAATAACTTAATAACTATTGATATATGTTATAGTTAATCCTAATTCTATCAATAGTTCAAATTCTTAAAGCCGTTATCTGTGGTAAAATGGTAAAAATCAAATAGGCACAAAATACCATGGCTTATAGCCTGTCCATATAGGTCAGTGTTTTTCATAGATAAACTAGCTTAGTGTGCGTTAGAGACTTGAAAAACTGACTGTATATTTTAGTACAAGTTTTTTTGGCAAAGTAATCATAGTAAAAATTATTAATTATATTTTAAAGTGAAAATAAAATTCTTACCATTGAAGATTTATTCATTTTTATGCCGCATATTGGACAGACTCTGGACTTTTGCTTACAAATATGTTTGTCAAGTTTTTCTTGACATGAAAACACCGCACCGCAGCCAGTGCAATAAACTTTTAAAGCTGTATGTTTTCTCAAATTATGCTCCTGCGGGAATAAAAATATTTAATTAATTAAAATTAAAACAAAAATGTCAGACAATACATGCAGCGGGAACAATGATTTTTTCATGGTTTTTATCAAGTTGTTGGTCTCATTAGAAAAAAAAAAATGAAAGCATTACATATATTACCCTCAGACCGCTAACATATTTGGTTGAATATCCACATAGTTTACAAACATGCCGCTTTATAGTAGTATGTCTTAATACATGTATTTTAATTTTGCACTTTGTATTGAATCTGTAATAAAAAGTAATTTAACATATCTTACGCATCAACTTTTATTAGGAAATTTAACATATAAAGATATTGCTGTCTCTCTTCATTACTTCATGCAAACTGAGACAACTATACATTTTTAATTTATTTAAAAAAGGTACATTAAGGATAAGATTTGAATTTACCAGTTTACATTATTCTAGTCCAGTTAGGAACCCCGCATTGCATATAAATAGAAACATGTAAGCCCACAATGGAAACCACACAGTAATACCAGTGTGGTTTAACAGTTGTAATCCATCACTGGCTTCAATTGCTGGACTGGAATAATGATAACTGAAAACCGTCTTTACTTACGTTTCCCCACAATCATCACAGATAAACTGTTTATCAGAATGTACATTCGATTTATGTTTTCTTAAATTTCGCGGCGTGTCATAGGTTCGGTCACACTGGTTACATTTTAACTTAATCTAAAACAATAATAAATATAATTATTATTTATACACCACAATATAATATGAATACAGAGCTTTCTCGAAAAGCACTGATTTTAATCTATTTTTGAATGATGCAAAGCTTTGTGCCACTGTGAACAGATACCATTATACTAGGAAACTACCTTTAAATATTCAACTTAAATATAATATAATTCCAGCAGAAAAAACAATATTCATCTCAAATAATACATACACTTCCATCATAATGCATTTTCCTATAATGATGCTCCATATGTACATGATTAATACAATATTTATTACACATATGGCACCTTTTTTGACTATCTGGAGTATGTCGGAATCTGTGGCCTAGTATTTCCGGCCATTCGGTAAATATTTCATGACATAATTTACACATTTTATCTATTTTATGGCACTCTAAGTGATCAAATAATTCTTTATTGTCTTCAAATGATGCTTTACAAAGACCTGAAAGTTTAAATTTGTACACATATACAACTTTCTGACAGTGAAGAAAAAAAATATGAAACTAAATATCAGAAAAACAATTTAAAGGTGCATGGGAAGTCAAACAATCTACACTGGACTAAATTTGTTGACTGTAGCCAAGTCACTTCTAAATTACGATAGACGTCTAACATAGGTAACCCAAATGTCACATATATTTGTGTCACCTCCTATTAGGAGCTTGAGTTATATAATATAATTTTTAAAAAGTATTCTTAACACTTTTTTTTACCACATAGTTTTTTTAACTTGAGTTCTTGAGCTCTCAGCTTGTCTTTTATTTTTCGTTTAATCTTAACTTCTTCATTTTTAATTGCCTGTTTTATTTCTTCTTCATTTTCCAAAGGTATTTTCACTTTGTTTTTCTTTTTAGAAAGTCGCTTTATTTTCACTCCATTTTCAATATTAAAAGGTTGTTTTATTTTTCGCATTAACACTGTCTTTGAATCATTTGCAACATCTGAAATTAAATAAATATTTGTTAAAGAACTATAAGTATATAAAGTAATAGTAATATAATAGTTACTAGTATTTCAATAAGATAACTATGAAAGTTTAGATGTATAGATGGATGTTTGTTAGGAGCTATCTTCAGATCTTAATGATTATTGGCACAGATACAGAATATTCTGAAAGAATGCATAGTATACTTAATAGGAATTTTTTACCTGCACACAGACAAAGTAGGAGTCAAAAGCTAGTAATTTATGTGATAGAAAAAACATACCTTGTGATGTAACATTTGATATAGCAAACAATGGTATTTCAAATGTTTTACTACTCTCAAAATTATTACTGTCATAAATATTGTTGAAAGCACTAGAATCCATTGATTCTTCCTTAGGTTCAGATTTTACTTCACTATTTAAACAGTTTTCATTTATTGTACTATCAGGATCATCTTTCACAATCTGTAATTAGTTAGATTTATTTTGGACATTTATTCTCCTTTATTTTTTTATGTAAACACAAAGTGATGGACTTATTAATATTAGATGGGCTGGAGGTGTTTTAAATTTGAGTATTAACTGCTAACACTATTACATATATAAAAGTTCCATACTCACATTCAATATTGCATTTCTCATAACAGATTCTGAGGTAATACACCTATTCCTAAAATCGATAAAATAATTCACCGTTTCCCAACAATTGCAGCAGATTAGCTGCGACATTTTATCACCGACACATATCTGTAAAAGTAACGAATACAAAGTGTTATAATATATATTTTCAGATAAAATAATTGTTATTATTTCTTCGATTAATTTTAATTATTTACTAAAATTATATCACTAACCTTAAGTTCGGTTAGTAAATTATACTGTACAGCAAATGGCTCATCTAAAGTTCTCATTTCTTTATTAGTTTCAAGACATGCCCGACACGTAACCATCATTTCCCTAATAGTTTCTAATTGGTAAACTTTGTTTTGTCTAAATAATATTATTTTAGAGCAAAACTTTGCTAATATTTATGTTTCCATTCCCAGTGTGATTTCAAAACAAACCAACAAAACCAAACGCAAAGATGTCACTTGCTTGTCACTTGGTTATTATTTGTCATTTTAATTGCCATCATTAAACCGTTACACATTAATCTGTCATAGAGCGTTGAACTACAAATCATTTTACGTATAAATTTAGAGATATACTGGTGTTAAATCAATAAGATTATTTTACTTTACTAACATTAGAATATAAAGTACTAATTTTTTAAAATTTTGTTGTCAACAAGTTGACAACACTTTGCGCCATTCGTTCATTTTTGATTGAATTCGTGCTTAATCATTCATTCTCTATAATCGGTGGGCGGACGGGGAACGTCAAATTTATGTCGTAATATTGATTGTGCAATGAATCTCTGTTTATTTGATGATATTATTGAATTGTCATACTTGTCTAAACCTTGGAGAAATAAAAACGATAATGTGTTGAATTAAAATATAAACGCGCAACTTGATGTTTAATTTTATCAACAATATTTTACAAAAACGAAATATAGTTTTGGTATACATTTATATATTGAGTCAATTATAACGAATAAATTGTAATTATGGTGGAGAACGGTGGTTCCAGCGGTGGAAGCGAGAGTCCTAATGCAACATGTGCTCGGTCAGGGTTGCTGGAGACATTGGTACGCGGTGTTTGGTACCGAGTGCATTGTTCTCTCGAAGATGATTACCTGAGCGTGTCGTTAGACGATGGTTACGATGCTACTACAACTTTAAATGGAACATTGAATAACAATAACGTAGAGACACCAAATAGTGACTTCACAGAGGTGCCTGAAGCTATCGCCAATCAGAAACGCCTGGTGCAAGTTGTGAAATCAGACAATAATGGTTTAGGTATATCTATTAAAGGAGGGATAGAAAATAATATGCCTATATTAATATCAAAAATTTTTAAAGGCATGGCCGCTGATCTTACTGAGCAATTGTATGTTGGTGATGCTATTCTTTCTGTAAATGGTGAGGACTTAAAAGATGCAACACATGAGGAAGCTGTAAAAGCATTAAAAAGAGCAGGGAAAATGGTGCAGTTAGAAGGTAAGATAATAAAATACTCATTAACATAGATATGTTGGCCTAGACAATATTATCTCTTTAACATATTCATTTAATATGAGTTCATAGATATAATTGTTTTAAATTGATATGACCTCCTAATTAGGTTCAAAGTAATTAGGGTTGGTGTGTGTAGTTGTTATTGTGTTCTACACACACACACACACACACATACATAGACAGAGAATCTTAGAACTTACTTCTCAGCTATCTATGCTATTTTAGTAGTTATGATACTATGACTTTTTAGATAATTAAAAATGCCTTTGAATGAATAGCACGGCTATGGCAAGCAATTTCAATCCATTGTCAAAGATTCGCCTCGTACATTAATATCATCATGATCGGATTAAAACAACTGAAGAGTTATTTCATACATTTTCTTCTGAGTTTTTAATTAACAAAGTTTAAATGTAACTGTTAATAAAAAAATACAATTTTGTTCTAGTGAAATATCTTCGTGAAGTAACACCTTATTTCCGTAAGGCGTCAATCATTAGCGAAGTAGGTTGGGAGCTGCAGCGCGGCTACATGGCGGAGGCACCCCCTTCGCCGCCGTCACCTAGGCGACGGCGCGCCGACACCCGTTATGTACCACTGCTGATGGCATGTGTGGCTAAGAACCTTCGCCATCATGACCCAGGTAATTAAGTGTTACAAATTATAGAATGTAAACAATACCATAAACCTAAATGAAAAATTAAAAAATCAAGTTATTATGCTGTCCAATTACATATGTAAAGTTACCTAATATAATTTGGCTTATATAAAGCTTGATGTATAATTATTTCGTGCTTGAGATAAATTACACAGTAAATTTAATACCTATGTCGACAGGTGATCAATATCTCATTACACTTGTATTAATTACAGTGAAACCCACAAACCGCGGAAAGTTAATATGACGCTATTTGCGGTGACAATATTTAATATATTTTTACAATAAATAAAATTAGAGTGTCTGTATGTAGCATAGGAAAAAACAACTCTTATTTCGGAACATGTATAAGCATTGGTATACCGAAAATGAAAATTTAATAATTTTTGACTAACTGACATGTCCGCAAAACCGCGCTTGTTGAGAAGATTTTCGCGATTGTTTGACTGGATGACTGGATACTACCAATAATAGTTAAATCATTGTCTCTTGTTAAAAGAAATTGCGAATACAACAATTAATATATTTTGTTTTATATGTTTATAGAGGAGCGTATAATCGAGTTGTACTCCCCGGACGGGGTACACGCGCTGGCACTACGCGCGGGGTGTGCTGGTGCGGCGGCGGGCTGGCACCGTGCGTTACACGCGGCTGCTCGACGTGCTGCACGCGCCGCGCTTGCCCGCGCCCGACCTCGCCTGCGGGCGCTGCTTGGCGACGTGCGATATGCTGGTTGGCTTGCGCGTAGACCGCCTCAGGATATCGTAAGTATACGGATGTGTATTGTTTATGAGGTTGCCATGCTTTAAAATTTTAACAATTGTGTTAATTTTGTTTCAGATGGGAGCTTCAGGCGGATCTGACAGTTCCGATGACTTGGAAGGTTGGGTGCCAACATTCGTTGCTATCACGGATCGTGAATTGAGGTTAATATTTCTTGTGCATGGATCTCACTAGAACATAGCCTGAAAGAACACATAAGCTTCTAATTCAATTTTTTATAATCCCGTGCGGATGCAGGCTCTGTTGACCGCTCTTATTAAGTAAAGCAACATGCTTGCAGGCTATATGAGGCGGCGCCATGGTCTGCGGAGGCGTGGTGCGCGCCCACGGAGAACTTCAACCTGGCGGCGACGCGGCTGGCGTGGTGGCGGCGCGGCGTTTCGGAGGAGGCGGAGGCGGGGGCCGGGTCTGGGTCTGGGGGCGGGGCGGCAGCGCTGGGCGTGCGCGCGGGCACGCCGGCCGGCCTGTGCGTGCGCGCGCTGCGGGCCGACACGCCGCACGACCTGGCCGCGGTGGCGGGGGCGCTGGTGGACGGCGCGCACCATGCAGTCAGAGCACAGCCCGAGTTCACATTCCGTAAGTCAGGGTTTAGTAGTTCATAAGTGGTAAATCTTGTATAGTTCGTCAATTCAGAGCAGAAATTAATTATTAATAGCTTACCACTTAAGGTATAACATCGTTCACCTTGCTCGAACATTAAGTGAATTTAATTTATTACTAGTGACAAAATAAGTATTGTATTTACGTGTGTGCGGTGTGCGGTGTGCGTGTGCGCAGGTTGCCGGTACCGCGGCGCGTGCGCACGTCTGTCGCTGGGTGCGGGCGGGGTGTGCGTGTGGGAGGCGGCGGGCTCGCTGGGGCGGGGCGGTGCGCGCGCGCTCTACCGCCGCCCGCTGCACGCACTACGCGCCTCCGCAGATGATGACCGCACCGCACTCTGGCTACACTTTGCAGACGATGACACACTTGTGAGTACATTCATTTATTGCTACACTAGCTGTGCCCGCGACTCCGTCTACAAAACAGGGAATAGTATGAAAATATCCTATGTCCATCTCCTGCTTCTAAGCTATCTTCCCACCAATTTTGACCCAGCCAGCTATGCGTGGAGGTGTATCATTTAAAGCTGCGCTAGCAATTCGATGAAACGATTAATGTGTGTCGTTTTCGCTGTTAGCAATTTATTGTCCCGATAAATCTTCAATTCAATCAGGAATTAAGTAGAAATAGATTGATATTTCGCTGAGGTCTACATCCAAGTATAACATTTAATTTAATGGTGATTTCCCTCAGGAATTGGACATGGAAGGCAGTCCAAAGCCGGCAGTGTTCATCCTGCACAATCTGCTGTCAGCTCGCGTGCATTCTCTGCCGGGGGAGGAGGTGGCCAATCCTCTATAACAACACGTCTACACAACGCAACACTTTTTATACACGTAACGTATTCAAAAATTCAAATACATATAAGGATGGATTTCCACTGTCAACATATTTGTATATCGTCCCTTTTATTCTCTTTGAAAACGGAGACATGTATCAATACAAGTGTGGCAGTGGAATTCTACGGTAACTTCAATAATACAAGAGTGAGTAAAAAAGACAAGAAAAATACATTAGTTTAATAATGTAATAAACGGAACGTTTTTGATATTTGCTGAACGTAGAAGTAAGGAGCGTTAGTTTTTTTTTGTCAAAACAAACATTCGTCAGTAAAAAAAAGTCATTCGACATTAGACATTTCATTATATCATATTTCGTTTGATATTAGAACAGATAACATAATTGCTAACTGAATGAGTGAATGATTAAAAATATCAATTGAATGATTTAGATTTTCGAAGTCATTCAATCGATATTTTTGACAGCGAATGTGATTTTTTTTAATAAAATAATAATTGTTAGATTAACAATAGTTTGACAATAAAGGTGAGGCTAGAATAAAGTGAATGACCTTTTAATAGATCTGACTTGATCTTTTTTTCATAATTATGTTAAAAGCCCTTGTGTGAACACAGCTTTATATATTACATAGTAAAATCCAAATTTGTACCCCACGTCTACCTCTCAGATATTTTTTTTTTGTTTTATTAATAAAATGACAAAATTATTAAATAACTAATTTAATTGTTAAGTTTGTATACTAATTGTTTTTATTATTTTTATTATATTTGTTATATTTAATAATGTAATAAGTAAGTGTAATTTAAAAAAAATAACCTCAATTTTTTTTGCATGATTATTTTTACTGTTTGTTAAATTATTTTCATTCCGAATAATTAATTTATGGAGATTTATTTTTCTGCACTGATTTAGAAATATTTTTTACCTACAGCCAGGATCTGTGTTTATTTTTATACAAAAATTAACTTATTTCTATTTTTTAAGCATTAATGTCTCGAATATTGCCAGCAATTAGTTGTAACATTCCAATTTATTAATTAGAAATAATAATATAATCATAAAATGTCAAACATCTAAAGCCTCGCATGTGTTCAGTATATCGAATGTTTATGATAAAAATTGCTTTGTGTGGCATTTTGTAATTGGCATAATGATTAGAAAAATGTACGATTCTGTGT